CGCGCCCCATTAGGCTCCGAGCGAGTTGGAAAGCGATTCTGAGCTTCTCTTATATCCTGAAAACAGAATCCAGTAGGATAGACAGCCGTAATATATATAATGTTATTCTAATACCTTCAATTCTGTAGCCCTATGGTTATAAAAAGCAACTAAGATAGACATGTAAGATAACATGTAGGTAGCGTTCATTACAGGCCCCATTTCCGATGAATGAGGCTCCAACACCAGGTTATTAACCTTAAGTTAAAAAAGAAATCATCCAAATTGGACCAAAACTGAGTAGGATATAGCTCTTTAAAGTTAAACAACCTCAAAGAGCACTAGCTTTGTCAGTTTTAGTCTGATTTGACTGCTTGTTTTTCCCACTTAATCAGATTAACTAATGTTATTTTGTCCCCATTCCTGTGAAATGGGGCCTGTAAGGAGGCTGGAGGGGGCTGTTTGAGACCAGAGATTCCAATTCTAGGTAGGGTTACCTGGCTTTGGTTAATTCCTTAGTATCAGATCATGGTATTTCTAACAGGTATGTACAGTATCGATTTATGCTAAACTATATGAATCTGGAGAAGGAAATACCCCCACATACTCAGTATGGATGCCTGAGACCTGGCTGTGACATTTCTCTTTGTAAAGAGTGCTTTCACAAAAGGCATATTGAACTTTAGATTTTATAGTTTTTCCTTTCTTCTAAAGTGGTCTTCAATCCATCACAATAGAATTATTTGACAAAGTGCACCCATGATTATTTGATATTGCTCATCTGATTTATAAGCGCCAAGATTCCCCACCTACTTTAGTATCCTATGACGATTTTTGACTGTCTCGGACTACTCAAGGGATAGTTAAAACATCAATAAAACTATTTATCTATTTATATATATATATATATATTATATTTACAAGTATTAAGAATCAGGCCCAAATTAGAAAAGTAAATGCAAATTTAAATATCTTGTATTATACATACACATAAAGTTATGTTAAGTCACAATCAAGTTCCGTTAAGCTATCCCATACTGTGTTAAGACATTCCGGTCCATTTTAAAATCTACAATACTAGTCTATTAAAGGATAGTATTGAACGCATTCTCAACCTCAGCTCATCCAAGAAGAATACTCTCAGGAGAGGAAAACCTACAAGTCAAGATCAAAATGCCACTAAAGCTGAAGATTCTCGATGATTTACTCACCAATAATACCTGTACAGCAAAATGCTCAACCAATCTAGAAGGGGGTAGTTCTTTGAAGAGGCAGTGGTGGCAGCCTCAAACGGAATCTGGTATAATCTTGAGCTAAGAATTAAGAAAGCAACCCACCAGGAAGTAGCTTCCACGGCCCACTTAGAAGAGAAAAAGCCACCGATCAAGCAGAGTGCTGATGCCAAGTCGCTTTCGTTACTACAACAGATTCAACCTTTTGATTCTTCATATCCAGAACACAACTCAGAGGTAGAAACCCGAATCTACATATCTATTCGAGAGAGGTGAAAGACTAAAGTAAGAAGTAGGCTTTCTTACCAATAGAGTATGCGCATGAGCCATATGCCTTGTTTTCACTCTTTTTCACCGATGTGATATTTGAAAAACTAGCCATGAATACCAACAAGTATGCCAAGAAGAAGAGAAACCACATGGGAAAAGAAGCTCTAGGAAGGAGGGCTGGGCTAGAAGGAGAGTCTGTTTTCTTAGAAGAAAGTCAGAAATCCAATAAATGTACTGCCACCTCAGTAGGTGAACTGAAGATCTTAGTTGGGTTGACGATTAAGATGGGAATTCACTGTTAGCTATTTATTGCTCTCCATTGGTCCAAGGAGAGATGAAATTGTTGGAAAGAAGACTTTAATACAGCCTGGCCTGTATTTTATCAATGGCATCTTTCCTCTCTAAGCTGGTACAAAGTTCTAAAAAATTGCATGTCTCTTCTTCGATACTAGCAGATCAAACACTATTTCTATGTCTCCGATCCAACCATCCAGCTTGACCAAAATGAATGGTATAGGAAACTTAGTCCTTTAGCAGATCAGGTAAAGGAAAGCTTTCGAAGATACTTTCTTCCAGGAACCAAGATAGCTATCGATGAGATGATAGTTAGATTTTGTAGCTGCAGCTCACATACTGTAAAGGTTAAGAACAATCTAATCAAACAGGCATATAAGATATTTGCTCTTGACTCCCATGACTATTCATATGGATTTCTATAGTACTTGATCTCGCAAGGCATTGCTGCATTAGTCAAATAGCCTAATCTAACACCAATAGCCTCTGGTGTCTATCAGCTAGCAAGGCTACTACCTATTGAAAAGAGGTGGAATTTGGTATTGGATAATTACTTTACCAATATACCTTTATTTGAGGAGTTGCTAAAGATTGGTGTTGGGGTTATGGAAACTACCTGGGTGGATTCTTAATGCCTTCCTCCCTGCTTAAAGATTGAGAAGTCAGAAGCAAAAAAGGTTCTCCCTTAGGGGTATTTAAGTGGAGCTGTGGTAGATAATATTACTAGTACAGTAAACAGAATTTGTTAAAGACTAAAGAAATCAAGCTCAAAAGCCCTAATGGTTTGAAGGATCTTTGGTGATGACTTTCAAAGGACGCTCCCTATCTCTACCTTCCTTAATGACTACATTTATCATATGGGTAGTATCGATATCGCAGATCAACTGCGAAGCTATTACTGTACTCAGCAGCGGGCCTCACCAAATTGGTATTCATTATTCTATTGGCTTTTGGATACATCTATTGTTAATGCCTATCATCTACTCAAAACCTCCTATCCTCACTATAAGGGCCAAAGTCAGCACAACCTCTTTCATGAACAGTTGGCTAAAAAGCTAATTGATGTTGGCTTAAATGACTGTATGAAAACGATCATGGAACCTGAACTCCCTAGCCGTCCTACTCAACCTACCTCCCCTGGCTATAACGACCACTCTCCACCTACTCCTCCTACTCTGTATCCCTCTCTGAGACCTCTCTCCACTCCCTGCCCATTACCTCAGCTACCACCGCACTACACCCATGCTGACTCAGAACATAGAGTCTGTATTTGTATCCACTCAAAGCCTCCTGAACCAGTCAACTTCCCTCCTCCACCTACACACACTCACGAGTAACAGCCGACTAGCACTTGCTGTGTTTTATGTCAATGGAAAAAGGTAACGGGAGGTAGCTTAAGTGTTCGGTCAGTAAATCGACGTTGTAGAGAGTGTAACCTTTCATTATGCTATCAGTGTTTTGCTGTATTTCACTACGGTAACACACAGTAAAGCGAGTCCACATTGAGGCGAGAATGCCCATAGAACTTTTATAGTACAGGAATTATTTGTATGGGCATTCTCGCTATGCCACAGACTCGCCATGCTGTGGAATACTATAATTAGTTTCTTCTATTTTATATTAGGTGACTTTGCACATAACGTGTTAAGACATTCCGGTCCATTTTAAAATCTAGAACACTAGCCTATTTGCGTAAGGGGATAAAACAGTCATCTTGAGCCACAAAATGTTGCGTTAAGCCACAGCTTTGGCACGAGTAATGAGAATTGTTTAGTGATTTCAAAATGTCCTGGCCACTTCCGAATGGAGAATTTGCGCTTTCACGAGCCACTTGTTGGATAAGGGCCCTGAACCGGACAGCAAATACCCTTATACCCGAGTACCTTACAGTGCTGAGGACAAGGTGGTCCACAATCCAACACGCCGGCATTCAATAGATATCGTGGCACTCACCATTTACCTGCCCTTTTTCCTCAAACTACAGCAGCAAACCTCAATTCAACCTGCGACTTGGTACAGACACTCCATCATTGATAACAGCAGCCATGCACGTTCTGGTAAGTCTCTTCCCTGAATGCCCTCCGCACCGCATATCCACTGATATTTCCTAGGTGGTAAACGACGACGGACCTCCTTCCCAGCAATCTTCCCCCTATATCCACTCCTTCGTCCACGAGCTGCGAAAATCAGGCGCGTCAGTATCCGTGGTCCTCCCTCACGCCCAGCGCTCCTGGGTCGGCAAAGCCCACTTCGTCGGAAAAACGATCGTCCCGACATACTTTCGTCCTGGAACCCTGTACACAGATGATGGGTCAACCCACGATCGCCCACGCCTCGATGGTGGCGAAGAGTGGGTTCTTGTCGATGGGACGCCCGCTAGTTGTACACAAATCGGGTTGAACCATTACTTTCAGGAGAAGGGGCCGATAGATATGGTGGTTTCCGGGTATGTCAATTATTCTCCGCCCCTGTCACGTTTCTTGGGCTTTTCATATTAACTTTAGTACCCAAGTCCAAATTATGGCAGAAACTCAACCGCCCTTTTCAGTCTTTCCTCCGGAACTGTCGGTGGTGCAATGGAAGGCGCTTTGTGCGGAAAACGCTCCGTTGCACTATCGTACGCCTTCTTCAACAGGAACCACGACCCCGTTATCATCCGCAGTGCGTCGCTCATGTCCGTTCGGCTGATAAAGTACTTGCACGCAAACTGGACCCCGGGGGTCGACTTGTATGCTATCAACGTTCCGTTGTTGGAGGGGATTGACAAACCGGAGAGGAAGATCCTTTATACTCACATTCTGCAGAATCGCTGGGTTACGGGATGCTCCTTTGAGGAGTTGGAGGATGATGAGGCTGATAAATCAGATACCGGAAGGAGGGAGGCAGAGATTAGAGGTGATGTGGGGGAGCACGAGCATAAGCATCTGGCTTTGAAGCATAAGAAGTTTATTTGGGCCCCAAAGTTTGCCGATATACATCGGTCAGTTGAGGAGGTTTGTACCCTCTCGTTGTGATTAAGTCTGGGCGTTTGCGTTAATTGTTGGTCGGCAGTCGGGGCCGGGAAATGATGGGTGGGCAGTCGCAAAGGGATATGTGAGGTATGAATAGTTCACAGTTTAGATTGATTCAGACGGATCACTAACCTACCATCTGTGTTCTAGTATAACTCCACTGAAGGCAAACTTCATGCATTATGATGGCCTGGTAGGGCAAGAGCTCAATATGTAAGTATAATCATAGTCTTTGTTAGCCGTTTCACGGTGGCTCCTTGGGAGTTTTTCTCGCTCTTTCTTTTCCCTTTAATAATCATTTCCTCGTGTTCCTAGCAATGCAATTGAATCAATGGGTTCTCTGCTACTGAAAGCTGGGCCACAAGAGAAGAGCTCTTGCTGGGCTGTTGTGGGATATGAGGACGCCTACGTCCAGCCTAAGATCCAAGCCGCCCTAAAAAAGAGCATACCGTGTATCAAGTTTGCTAGCAATCTTACCGAAGTGCCGTTAGAAAACTCTGAAAAGGTCGTCCATTGGTCTACGTATGAAAGCATTGACTTTGAGAGCGTGCTTCAAAGGCCAGACTCAATCATCTGCTGCTCCTATATCATAAGGTAGGATCCCGGTTTTTCATCACCTTTCCAAACTAAGAACGGAACCATAGGAAAGCGCTTATCCGGAAACACTACCTGGCGCAGACCATCCGCCAGCATGTTACCAAACATCCTGAATCTCCCCTCAGCAAGGCATTTCCTCTAGCTTGTGATTTTGAGCTTGACTATGCTGAGTTCCTTGACGAAGCACTTATTGAAACCTATGAGTTATGTGATAGTCTCAGGGCGAATGAAGAGAAGAGTGGGAAGGATAGACAGTGGTGGATATTAAAACCTGGAATGAGTGATAGAGGGCAAGGTATCAGGCTATTTGGCACAAAAGAAGAGCTAACGGCCATCTTCCAGAGCTTCGAAAGAGCTGAGGACTCGGGTGACGACGCAGACGAGAGCAACGAAGATCAGGGCAATAATAAAGGTACCTCAATCGTCACCAATCAGCTCCGCCACTTCATCGCCCAGAAGTACATTCATCCCCCACTCCTAATAGGGAACCGCAAGTTCCATTTAAGAACATATGTTCTCTCCGTCGGTGGACTGAAGGTCTACGTTTACAAGCGCGTTCTAGCGCTCTTTGCCGCAAAGATGTATTCGCCGCCGTGGAAAGATAGTCAAGACTTAACTGGCCATTTAACAAATACCTGTTTACAAAGCGGCGAGCGAGAAGGGAGCGTTAGATTGTTCTGGGACTTGCATGCTTCCCTCCCGGGCGGGACTCTGACTCTAGAAACAGTCTGGGGGAATCTTTGCAAGATAGTTGCTGAGACATTTGAAGCGGCAGCGACTGGCCAGAGGGTGCATTTTCAGGTTTGTGCGTCCCCATATCCCATCGCTCTAGTTCAAGACTAACATGTAGCCAATAGACCCTTCCAAACGCCTTTGAAATCTTCGGCCTAGACTTCATGATTGACACCGATACGAACGTTTACTTGCTCGAGGTTAACTCTTATCCAGACTTTAAACAGACTGGTGATAAATTTTCAGGGTTGATTGAGGGATTGTTTGAAGGCGTCGTGGAGGTTGCAGTCACGCCCTTTGTTGGTCTATCTGGGGTTGGGGGTGGAGTAGATGACCTCGTGAAGGTTCTGGATATTGGGCTGGGGTCTTGGTAAGGGTCTGGGGGTGTAGGCGAGGGCCTGGCTGAGTGAGTAGTCGCTGTCATCTAGTTCGTTGAACGTGTTTCACACGTGGGTTTAGAGCCCCCAGCGAAGTGAAGGGCGCGTATATGTTATGGTACCGGCAGTGATCCCATGGCCAGTCTAGACCATGGTCCTGACCACCGGTCGGCAGTCCGGCTAGTCCGGTCTTGGTTTTAAAAAGCCTGGGCTGGCGGCTGCCGGGCCGGGTCATGGCGCAACCCAGGCCAGATCAGCCAGATGTCAGGGTGAAGGCGCCTATTGCCCTGGTAATCCAAAGATATCTGGACGGACAACCTGCAGGCTTTCCACGTTTAATCGCTCAGAATGGGATAACCGTGCTAAAGTTCTTGCCAAAAGTGTGAAACTGCGAGCAATTGCAAATTTTGCAGCACATCTACGAGATGCCCAACAGTTCAATGTCAGATTCCGCTCAATGTCAAATTTCACAAACTACTTTTAAACTTACCTCGATCGCAATAAAACCTCTGAAAATTATACAGACATAGAAGCTTGTATTGATAGTACTTGTGATATGTTAATAGAATGAGAAAAAACCAAATGTTTCAGCTATAGCATATGACTTCGAAGTCCAAGAAAGTTTGGTCTGGGGGGATGAAAAGGAAAACAACCATAATATACACAATGTCTAGTTATGAACAGAAAGCTTACAGGTGCTAAAGAGTATGTATTTAAAACGAGATACTATAGTAACCTCTGTTTGACTTCTAATAATCACCAGTTGTGCTGAGAATATTCTTAGAAGAAGTAATAACAGCAAAGATAAATAGCTGCATCAAGTGCAATCTGTACATGAAATGCACAAGATACCAGAATACTAACCAAAAAATACATTCAAGTCACCACTTACATCAATACTCATTCATGGAGCCAACGGACAAAGAACTCAAGGAACGAGAGGAGAAAGTGAGGTACAATATCATGAGTTGGATGTTGTGCTACAATGATGGATGTCCCACATACAACGGGGACAAGGAAGGCTCAGGATGGTTCCTGAGAGAATACTGAAAGCAAAGTTTGCACCTGGACCATGTCCTAAAGCACTGGAAATAGTGCTTCAACAACACAGGCAAAATGCACAAAGTGAAGAAAATCTCTGCAGGATACCACACACAGAAAGATGGAATGAAGAAACAATTAGAAGAAAAGGACGCTAACAGAATACATGGGGCCTTAAGGACCAGGCCTAAGAAGGAGAAAGCCCAAAATTCCTCAACAGAAATGGAGCAGAACATCAGAAGCCTGCACAGGTTGATCAGAGAACTACGTGAACAACTTGGCTGGACCAAGGCCACAATTTTGGCAAAGGAAAAAACAATTGCGGAGCTGAGACAAATGAACGACAATCAGTGACAAAGGATAGAAATAGCGAACCTCATCTTGGGAACAGTTAGGATAAGATGGAGAACAGCAGACGACAAGTTCAATAGGCTTCAGAGATTCTTGCGTCTGGCTGTATACCAACCAATGAAGCTAGAAGAAAATGCCCGATAGGACTCAAGCTTAGGAGGAGAGGAGCTAATATCACAAACATGACTTAGTGAGGAAAATGTTTTCACATAACTCATGATCATGAGTTATAGGTATGTTATTGTTTTGCACATATGACTCATTTAGGTCATATGACTTATTATATTGTAATTTATTATGTTTCGCACATGACTTGATTATGAGTCATGGGACGTGCACCTGACAAGTGTGCCTTGCAAGTATGCCTTGTGGGTATGCCTCATGCATATGATTTATGTTTGGTACATGACCTCGTGATGAGGTCATGGGTTTCGCGTTTGTGACCACTTGAGGTCATTTGACTTATTTATTGTGCTATGATTAGTTTATGCGTTTTTGCACATGACCTAGCTAATTGGTCATGGGTTTTGCACATGTAACTACTTTAGTCATAGAACTAGTTTGTTATGATTTGGTTTTGCACATGTAACCACTTTAAGTCACATGACCTGGGTGGGAAGAGCACTATATAAGGAGGTGGGTACAGCTGAGGAGGATAGGCTCCTTACACTTTGTTCTAAGTACTATTCCTGCTTCATGCACTGCATGTCGGAAGTGAGCATACCAATACTTTACCTTCTTTCACTGGCAATAAATACTATTAAGTCCTGATCTCGAGAGGTAGTTGATTGCCAGCGTAGAGGAGAACTCACATATACTTAAGTAGATTTCATATACTGCCAGTTGCTCCCCATCACTACTCTGTATTCTCAAGCACCCAACTCCCTTGGGCTGCCTAGCCAACCTCCACGGGTCAGAACGAAGATCCCCCTTAGTGAACTAGATCACTCTTGTGGTTTTCTAACATCTACCCAATAGAGGTATTTTAGCCGCTGCATCAACAATGGAATGACAGGAGTAAAAACTCTTCATATTGTGAATATGTTAGTGGCAAGCTGTCATGCCCGAGTAGATGTGATATCAACTATAGAACTCTCTACCCATATACACTTAGTCTTCTACAAGTATCCGCAGCCCCTGAACATCTATCCAGTTCTACTGTATTCTATATCATTCCGGATAATAGCCACGAAGCTCCCCCGATAAACCCATTCGGATGTTGACTACCAATAGGTGCTACCCACAGTCAATCCTCCTAGAAACAGGTCTTATCGTGACGTTAGACTAGTGTCTCAGAGTCCCTAAAGATTCTCCAATACTGTTACACCTTCGGGGCAACGGACTTCGGTTACCTCGCATACTAACCATCGGTAACCTCACATACTACCTTAGACTTCCAAGTAGTATTACTCCGTCAGATCTGGTCCGTTTTACATAAAACCACCTGGAGACTATTCTTCTAGTTCAACTCTACCCCCTCATATATTTGGCAGACAGCTTTCGGTCGGACAGACGGTGGGAATGTATACGGTGTTACAGGAGCATCTCTACCTAAAGATATTTACTAGGCTTATAGCAACTCTCCAGGCTGTAGCCGATGATGCCAGGGACTTATAACGGGGCCAGAGGGGGATGTTAACCACCATACCTCCAAGTTACAGCTTGTTCGGAGCTCAACTGGTTGTGTGGAAGTGATCTGCACAACCTCAGATTTGAACACCCTATATAGTCTCGCATGTCAAACAATCTAGTAACTTCCCCCGAAGTCCTGTGTAACAAGTTACTTTCAAGGTAGGGTAACTTGGCTCTATAATAGGGTAACCCATAGCTCAAGCCAGGGTAACTTTAGTCCAAAGGTAGGGTAACTCTACCCAGACTCACCATTGAGTAATTCAAGGTAACTCACAAATTGACTACTTAGGTTACCCTACTGAGTAGGATAACTACTGCTCCTTACTAGTTCCCGTATACTTCTTAGTATGGTTTAGTATGCCCAACCGAGGTACCTAACCAATAGTACCTCTAGCCGGTAGACTCTAGTCTACCACCATTTCTACCATGGTAGTCTCTTGACACTGGTATGGGTATAGGTTTGGTTAGTGTAGTAGTACTCTGTGGAGTCTCATTACAGAAGTAAAGAGATATCTCAACATTGAGGTGCCTAGTTGATTATGGGCTATGGCACGATATCCCAGACTGGCATAGGGCTGAGGTGGTACTCATAGCTAAGCAAGATAAACCTAGGTATGATATCGTGAAGTTCATGAAGGATAATACATGTCCTCCTGACATCGGCGAAGGTCATAGAACACGTGGTCCTGTTAAGGCTGGCTGCTTGTCTTGATCTGGGAGAAACACAGTTCAGGTCTCACTGAAATCGTGGGGTTCATGATATTATGGTAGTAGTCTTTGAATTCCTATGGTATAATAAGGGCTACAAATGACTAATCTTATCAATGGACATCGAAGGAGGGTTTGATAATATCGATATTGACCTCCTGTCAGACTTTCTGGTAGTCCAGGGATGTCTCCAGAACTTGTGTTTGTGGATCTGGTGATGGACTTCCTATTGGTCGGTCTATTTTCGTTTCAACAGATGCATTTCCTGACCTTACTATGTCAATAAAGGGGTACTTCAGGGATTGCCTATTTCTCTGTTCTTTTTTGACTGATATGTGGCAGATATATTCATGTCACACATACAATACTCCCTGGGTGTGCTCAGCTGGTAATCTCATATATTAATGATGGGATTATCATGGCGGCTGTAGAGTCCTATAAGGCAGTCCGATATGACGTGGGGGAAATATTTGCAGATTGTAATTGCATAGCCAGAGCCAGGGGAATGGAGTTTAGTGCCCGCAAGACTCAGTGGATTGGATTTGGAAATATGGCGTGGGAAGGAATGGAACAGTTGGGAGAAATGGTCTTGCCTTCAGAAGACCTATAGGTTCTGGGGTATAGGTTTAATGTATTTCTTAACTTTTCTTCTCATATACAGTACTGGTTGGAAAAAGGGTTAGGTGCTAGGAGAAGGATTTCGGTGTTGGGGAGGAGATTTGGAAATATTGGAGGATTGGGAGTGTGAGAAACTTACCACTTAGTACAGGTAGCCTACCTTCTGACCGTCTACTATGGGCTTGAATTTGTAACTGACCATACATCATGTGAAACAAATTCAGGTCCACATTAATGACTGTCTTCACTCAGCATTTCGAATGCCTATGAAGCTGGCAAACAATGTACTGTTAGCTAAGTTCAGAACGCCACCTGTCGCTATTCAGAGAAGGTATCTACAATGGAGATGTTACAGCCGGTTTATTAAGTACCCTTACTGTGGCCAGCATCTATGGTTTGGTGACATAGGGCTGTAGTGGAAGAAGGAACGCGTGGTAGTACATTGGCAGATTTCGAATAAGGAGCTCACCTGCTACCCCACAGTTTCAATTGGGAAATGCAAGGCAGTGATAGCTAGATGCCACCGTGTGCAATACACAGACCTTTGTGTATCTTCAGATGTGGTCATATATATGGATAGCTCTTAGTGCTCTGAGTGAGCTGGTCTGGCATGGGCAGTGTTTGAGAAAGGGGCCTTGACCCATGTTGATGGGTGGACGGTTCCCCCATCTTAGAGTATTGCAGAATGCCAGCTGTTTGCAGTTGTGTGTGCCCTCCAGCATGTATAGGATATAGCTAAGAGGCACCCAGTTCATGTGTTCTTGGACTATGTGCTGGCCTTGATCCTGATTGACAACATATTTTCAGATGGTCACTCGGCTGAGTTGTGGGAGGTAATAGTGCCCTTGTTGAATGCATTCTCTCACCTCAGTCTCAGTTGTGTCTCTAGTCAGATGGGTATTGATGGCAATGAGATGGTCAACCTGAAGGCTTAGGCCTATATTGGATGCCCCTTGTGCCTCCTGCTTTGGGAAGGGGTTAGCTTGGGATTGGTCACGTGGCCCTGGCTTGAGAACTCCGAAAAGCGGAATGGAGGACCTGGCATGCTACAGAAGAATATGAGTACTATGCCTGTGAGCCGAATGCACCATGACACCTCCAGGGCCTGACCCATATGGACTCCTATGTTTTGTTAAGAATCTGCAGTGGGACAGACATGGTCGGCCATAACAGCAGTGATGGGAATGGAGATCGATACTACTGGACTGAGTGCCTCCGCTAGGCTAGAGGGCGTC